GGGGAGGGAATCGTATTCGGCTGTCGAAAGTGGGCCGTATTCGCAAGGTTGGAGGCAGCGTCAATCCTACACCAACCGGGGGTCGTAGTGTGACGCTTTACGCTTTTTGAGTGCTAAAAAGATAAGGTTGGTGCTCATTATTGTGAGCTCGGAAGTTATGGGCGGATTGGAGGGGGTCCCTGGATAAAGGATAAGCATTTGCCGTTGATCAATCCCTTTTTGGGATGCGGCACGCATTCTACTTCCATTTGTACATTCGTGTGGCGTTTGAATGCGATGTGGCCTATACAATGACTTGCGGGGGCCAGCCGATGTACAAGTCAGTGTTTTTATCCTCCCAGACAAGTCTGGTACCAATTAACCGACCCCGGAGGGATGGAAGGCTTGGTTGGCCCGGGCGACTCACGACCCAGGATTTGATCCCCGGACCGCTCGCGTGGTAAGCGTGCCACTTGCCACTACACCACTTCCGCCCGTCCTGAAAAATTGCCAAAAATACCAACGGTTGTGTAGACCGTGAGGGAGGCCGTATCGAGGCTCTCCAGAAGAGGTAGTCCTAAAGTTTTTGCAATTTGTCTAACGTGTGACGGTTGACCCTGCCTCCTTCCCAAAATCGGAAATGCCGCCCCCTTCACGGAAACGGATAACGGAAGGTTGACGCTGCTTACATTCTATTGAACATTCCCCGTGAATTATGACCTAAGAAATTTCGCCGATTGTTGCAACGTTGGCTGAATGGAGCCGTTTTTGAAGCCCGTCATTTAGCGACTTGGAAAAGGTGAGCACGGAAAATTATTGGTCTAGGGGTAGGCTAACCAAAGTACAAGTAAGTCAAAGAACGTCAAAGGTGTCGATAACAAGTAAAGAATGAGCAGTAATGAGTAATAAATGAGCAGTATTAGTGTTATGCTCGATTCCGCTGTTGGCGGCTGCCGCAGCTGTACGTATTCTAATCGAGCGTTAGCTTGGCTTTTTGTTGTGTGTGCTAAGGACTTCCGGTCGGCTTGAGTTCCACCTCATTCAAACCAAATTGAACACGGGCAGTCAGCCAGGCGTCTGCACATAGTGTTGCCCTTTCCGCTTTGAGTTCTCATGCTGATCGTCGATAAATTACGTGTACAATTTGCTGAGGTATTTCTAGTAGCGTACTTTAAATATGCGATTCTTTGAACTTTCTTTCATTATCAGGTTTCGACCGTTGCTATCCATATTTCGCTTCTTCTCGGCGTTTTTGCCTACACAGTTTTTGGAGCACTCGTCATACAATATCTCGAATCATCTGAAGAACCGTATGTTGACATTTTTATAGCTTTAGTCTGGAGGAATATTTGAAAAGTGGGCGCTATCGCAATATACGGGGGCATCCCCTAAAACTAAGCCAAGGAGGAGCAGGAACTCCGAGGAAAATGAAAATGGCTCACGCACCCTGGAGTCCTCCTCCCCGCCTAAGGCTTATTCCCGTTTCAACAAAAAGACATGCTTTACGCGTTTTCAAATGCATTGCCACCACAATACCCCGTATCTTGCGATAGCGCTGTTCTATCGTGGGATGGATCTGTGTGGTAAAACACCCCATTGGGTATAGGAGGGAAATTCCCGCAAGTTCATCCATTCCCTCAGAAAGAATTGCTCCACAATATTTGAGCATCTTGAAACACATTCTGTTTGCATGAATGAAATTGACGAGATAGGGAATCGCTCCATGTTAAACAATAGATCGCGCAAGACTCGCGCTCCCGCCATTTCGCCACATAGGCAGTAATCTAGCGAGTTTGAGAAGAGCATCGAAAATCTATGCTCGAGTTCTCATTTTCTATTTCGTACTTTTCGTGTCCGAAATGACATGTGACAACGTGAAAGACGCCCCTTATACCTAAGAGTGCTGAATAATTGGCAAAAGATGGGTCCTTATTACTTGCACCTACACTTCTGGTCGGCTTATCATATACAGTTTTAGTTTAACTACATATTAGACGGTCAGGTGCCTCATAGACTGATTTCGGAAACTGCATGACTCCCGCTTCCCATAGTTCGCAGCCATTCCTAGACACCTCCGGTGTTTTATCAAGTGTCTCCTGTATTCCTGTAGTTGTTCAGAGACGTCCCAACGATTCTTGCCCGCTACTGTTTCGATGTCTTCCAGAAATAGGCATACGTAAGTAAACACGAAAGCCCTCTAAATGCGACCTCCTGCCGCTTAATTGCCGAACGTGCGTCTTTATTTTTAAGGCGATGCAAATAAACCTACCCCGGAAGAATGGAAAGCTTGGTTGGCTTGAACCGCGTGCGATCCAAGACTTGGCCCACGAAGCATATCCCACATGTCTCTGCACGACTTCTGCTCTTTATGGCATGCCGTTCTATGTTGATAAAAAGATAAAAAGCTTTTGCCGTTCAGCAATCCCGTCTTGAAAGCACTTCCATTTGTAGTGGCGTTTGAATGCGATGTGGCCTATACAATGACTTGCGGGGGCCAGCCGATGTACAAGTCAGTGTTTTTATCCTCCCAGACAAGTCTGGTACCAATTAACCGACCCCGGAGGGATGGAAGGCTTGGTTGGCCCGGGCGACTCACGACCCAGGATTTGATCCCCGGACCGCTCGCGTGGTAAGCGTGCCACTTGCCACTACACCACTTCCGCCCGCTAAACTGATAGCTAATAAATACTATTTATGCCGTTCACCTAAGTGAGAAACTGATTTTGGATTTCAGTGGTACTCGCTTGAAGCGGGAAGGGGACCCGGATGCGTTCACCCGCGTCTACCTCGGCTCGGAGGTATCCGCGATGGATCCAAAGGTGCCAGAATTGCAGACGTTTTTTTTCCACTGTTGTGATCTGATTTGAGCAGTACTTTCCAGGTACATCAGTGCTTGGAGTGGGCGGTCAAACGAGTCATGGCAAGCACTGACTGTGATGACTATCAAATGGAGAACATAAATATTGATTTAATCGATGAGTGTTACGAAAATGTGGAACTGCCTTCGGCAGGATCAAAGGACGTACCTTTGATTGGTTCAACGGCCAAAGAAGTTGAGGTCTCCACACGTGCGTACACTATTTCAATTTTGTCCCCACGTCAGCTTCTAAAAACTTTTTCAGAGCCATCAATTGAAGACGAGATTGCGAAAGAAGTGGAGAAATGGTCGTTCGGAAACGCGCTCATCTTCACCTTCAGCGTTATCACAACTATAGGTGCGTGTAGGCTCGGCTTATTCAATTTTCATGCAATCTATGTGTGCCATTGAAACTTCAAATTATTCTTTTGATAGACAGTTACTCTCAATGACACTTGGCATCGGGCATTTTCACTGCCAAGGGTGAGCCAGCATCGAGATTTCCTAACGCATCGGGGATGACAGGGTTAGCCGTTGCGTTAGGCCGAATGGAAACCTCTATTTTAGGGATTCGCGATACGCCCCCATTCCACCACATGAATGGGATCAGCCATTTCGACCTCTTCACCCTCATCAACCCAATTACGATCCCGTTAGTCGCAAATGCGACCCTTCCCCCTCGTATGAATCGGCCTGATGGACGGCTAAAGGCGGATTGTGCCATGAAAAGGCAGCCCATTGGAAATTAAGTCGGTGGTGGTGCATGAAGGAAGGAAGAACCATGAGAAACGGCCCAGAACCCGAGAAATGGGACCCCTTCCTTGCCCGTTGATTTGCGCATTGATGCGACTCTCATCGGTGCTGCCCTCTTCAACGCTAACGCTCTCTCTGCTGAACGGCTAGACTCAGACACGAGACGACGAGAGATGGGGAGGGCGTACCGAGCCAATAGCGCGCCAAATGGGCCGCGTGGAACAATTCTATCGCACTGCAAGCCGATAGTGTGGGCGGAGTTTGCGCCTAGTCCCCAAAGGAAGTCTATGTTCCCATCTATCACTGCATTTTCACAGATCTAGGGCCGATATCAATGAAACACCTCCAGGGCGGAGCGCGAACCTCACCTATCAAATGGGGTCACCCGTCCGTTCCCACTAATTGAACGAGGAGGTCGCACATGCTTGGGATTTTGGGTGAGCACTTGGGATTGGGAGAAGAGGTTAATCATATTTGAGTTTTTTTTTTGTCTGGCGAATGGGGGACGTATTTGTTTGCGAGGGTTTTTTGGCTTTTTGATATAAAAACATGGTGAAATTGGAGGACTCGCTGCTTCATTTGAAATATTTATTTAATCCACGAAACCCCCTTAATGGGGAGGGGGCGAAAATGAAAAAGTGCAAACGCAACGGGGGACCCAGCCACCTACACGTTCCACCACCCAAAAGCGCCAAATGTGATTTTAGCGATTCAGCGCTTCTTTGTGTTATTTTTCATAATGACCTACTACTACGACCACAATAATTAATAACCCCACGCCCATTCAAGGAAAATATGCCTTAACATGCTCTGGCTTTGCATTTTC